TCTTACAGACTGATAAAGTCAATCCTTAACTTGTCTTTGGTAGGCTACATTGATTGAGCTCTGATTGCAACACAGACATAATCCTTAGTTCAGTGGCGATGCATGGCAGGGAAAGGAGGGGAGGCACTGGCCCCACTGCTCCCCACCCTTGCTTCACCTTGTGACGGACCGGGCCGTGTCTGGGCACAGTTGAGGGCGTCTGCTCAGGATGAATTGCTCGAATCCGGGGCTCCTTACAGCCCCCCGACTGGTGACCTCTCCAAACAGGCCACAAACCAGTCCCACAGAGTGCTTCAGCTGCCTGCCTGAAGCCTCACGAGCAAAACCCCTCTGACACCCCAGCAATATCCGTGCCCAAGATGGCCCCGGGCCTATACACAGGTGGGGGGTCCTAGCACCCAATCCCACCTACCCCGAACAAGTTCTGTCCGGTTCCAAGAAACCAGCCACAGATCCCTGGTCAATTTACCCTCTGGACCTTACCCACAAATCACGCTGGGCCAATCCTTTAGAATCTATATCTAAAGGTTTATTATTACAAGAAAGAAAAGCATGAGAGTCAGGTTGTTAAAGAATAGTATGTTACATGCACCGAATCTCCCAGTCCTCGATGCAGGACCCATCTAGCAGAGATGTTACAGCTGGTTTAAAAGTTCTTGTTGCACATCCTAGGGTCAGGATGGGTTCACAGGTCTTCTGGGCTCTTCGATCCCTGCAGTGCTGCCTCTGGGATGAAGTGCTGACTTGAGAACAAAATGGCATCGACCACATGGCCTCTTTATACCTCCTTCCTGGCCTCTTCTTGTATGCAGCAGGTCACCTGGTCAGAGGCCAATCTCTGTGTTTCCTGCTGGCTGCTCTCAGGTGACAGCCCCTATTCTTTGGGTGTATCCTCAGCCCATCAAGTGTCATTGTCCCACAGGGCCTGGCTAATCAGCCTGTCCATAGCAATGCTTAACCACATTCAGAGAAATATTCAGCTTCCACACAGATTACAGATTCCTACCTACACACACAGACATTATACACTCACATAAATAGTGTACATAAGATCAGCAAATAATAAGCTCCCATTCAATACCCCACATGGCTCCCTTTTATACCAATTTCTGGGGCCAACACCCCCACCTAGGGGTGCAGCAGCGATCTGACTGCTTCCCTCCAATTCGGTAATGTGACACACCTCTTCTTTCCTGTCTTTTCCCAGTACTTACCAGAGTGTCGAGAAGTGGCACCATGTGGGCTGCAGCTGCTGGGCCTGCACCTTCCCCACTGCCAGGGAGTGAAACATGCAGAGAGGGAGGGGACAGTCACACTATGGACTGCTGGTGCCAGCCTTCCTGCCATAGGGGGTGCAACTGATGATGATTTTAGAGAGGTGATTTTATAATCTTCTGCAACACACTAATGAAATATTTAAAAAATATTTTAAATTATGGTCCTGTAGACAAACACTGTAAATTCAGAAACTGACAGAATATACCTTAGGTAGGCAAATGCCTGGTAAATGGCTTCATTACCAGCAGAACGGCTCTTTTACAGGGTCAGTGTTCTAATAATTCTGGCAGACTTCGTCACTTTTAAGTTAACTAAATCCTCTCTGGAGGAAGTAGAGCCACAGAACAGGGATAGGACACGGCAGATGCGTGGACATTAAGACCCAGTGATGTCCCAAATTTTCAGGTGCTCTACACAGCTTTGTATTCTACATATGGATAAGGACAGCTCTGGCCTCTTGGCTCAAATACTAGTTTGTGAAAGAAAATGAAGCCCTTTGAACTGTGAAGCATGGCCTAGAATCACCGTTAAGAGGAATGACTGCATGAGGCAATTGCTACATGAGTCTCCTAGGAGCAATTTGCTGGGAGAACTACATCAGTATACAGGACTGCTGACAGGGGCCAGGAGGGGGGCAAAAGGGGCAATTATCCTGGAGCCCAGAAATTCAAGGGGCCCCTTTGAATTGCCACTGGAACACTTTTCCACAGCTATGAGGGCTGGGGGATGACTATCCTCAGCAGCTTCAGAGGGTAGCTGAATTCGTCTGTAACAGGAAAACTTAAAAAACAACACTTTAAAGACTAACCAAACATGTAGATGGTATCATGAGCTTTCGTGGGCACAGCCCAATGTTAGAGAAAAAACTGCCCCCCCAGTAAAAAATTTTGGCCAGGCCACTCTTGCTATAGTGGGCTGCACCCTTCCTGCATACCATTGCCTTTAGAAAAAGGGAAGGTGTGAAAAGGGGAAAATAGCCTCAGACTCTCCCACCCGTCACCTTGGCCTGAGAACTGCGGGGCTTACCTGGTTGCATGAAACCTGCTCAGTTTCGGCCCAACCCCTGGTACACAGACCCCCCCCCCCCCAT